GTGTGCAGTCACACTGGTGCACTGCAGCTCGGCATGGGGTGAAGACCATCTGGGTTCTCACCACTGCCAACCTGCTGGGGGATCCTAGGCCACCCTCTCTGTCTTGGGAAGAGGTAGTTTGGAAACTAGTGAACGATCATACACCCCTACCTGGGTGATGCACACAGCTGCCCCTCACAGAGCTCAGAAACACAACTTTCAGTTCAAGACTACCTGTGCTCATGTCCTGACGGCCTCACCTGCCTTGTTTAGGGAGGCACCCGGCCTGGCCTCCCCAGTGCTGCTCTGCCCTGCCAGAGCGCAGCTGCCAAACTTGGGCAACATGGCTGCAGTGCCCACTGTACTCTTTCACTGCGCATGCGAGCGTGTTTCACATCACACTCCGTTTCTTCTGATGCCTGGGGGCAGGTGCTCTACTGACTCCCCCTTCTCTAGTCTTAGGGTTTCTCAGGCACACTGGGGCCTCCCATGGCATCACCTTCACTTGGACCCTATCTACAAGCCAAAGGGCAGTGATGCTACCTGCTCCAGGTGCGAGACCAGGACCAAACGGACTGCTGTAAGAGGTCTGACTGCCTCAAGAAAACCCAGGAAGCCAGTGGAAGAGCCAATCCCGAGGGCAGGGGAGCAGAGGCCTGGGAGAGTCCCAGAGTGCACACTGGGACTCCCTACAGCTCATCAAGCTGATGGCAGCCACCACGTGCCTCACTGCTCCACAGTGCGCTGGGTGTGCGCGCCTGAGGCGGGAACCGGTTACCCAAAGCTACTCTTCAGTGCCAAGAAAAGAAAGATCGCCATACAGTCATTCAGTGACACCGCGTGATGGGGAGTGGGGCTGTCCCAGAGGCTACCAGGGATGGCACTTACGCCGCCAAGGCTGAAGGCAGTAACCGGACTCCTGTAAATCCTTGTGAGGTAAGTGAGCACTTCCCACAAGCACCACTTGGGGGTGTGCCCACACAGGCATGCACACCCGTGCATACAGTACACAGAGATGGTGGACATACGCCCGCTGTGGTTTTGCCTCTAGTTTTAACACATCTATGCATTCGTTTATTGATGGCAAGACAATCACAAGTTATTTGACAATATTAAGTATTTCTTATTTCAACACGCAGTTACTTTTGAATTTCCCAAACTGTTATCACAACACAAGTCCCAACTTGAGAGCTGGAAGAACGAAAATATACAGTGAACACATGTGTCTCCGCGTGAGAATGTGTTTGTGGGAGGTGTATACACAGGTCTATCTATATATAACTATGTACACACTTGTAAAAATTAAACACACGACATCCAAATTATGTTCATCCACTGTCTCTCTGCCTTCTGGAAGAGGCGCTGGGGCCTCCTGCTTCCACTCTTCTTCATATGAAGATTGATTCCTCTCGAAACATCTCCTGGGACATACCCTGGTTGGCCCTGGGAAGTCCCAGGGTGTCCGGCCGGGCCCACTGCACTGACCGGTACCATTTTGGATTCGTTTCTGAGAAGTTCCAAAATTCCCTCCCACCACCTTGTGGCGGCACTGACCGCCCACATCAGAGATGGCCGCCGGGCCCATCAATGGCGTGCTCACCAGTTGCCTGGAAGAGGAACCAAGGGCAGCTTGGAGGATGGGCTTTACCGTTTAGGCCGGGGCCCATGAGTCTGGGTCTGTTTGGAACGCTGGCCAAGTGACTGCCAGCATGTTTGCGTCAGATTTAGTAAGTCCCCAGGACTGGGACTTTCTCAGGAACAAGTCAAAACGGCAGGGGTGGCAGCCAAAGGCCGAGGCAGCCTTGGGCACCCCCCTCTCCCCCAGGTGGCCAGTCTCCACAAAGGTGCGCACAAAGAACCCCGACTGGCCTGCCCACGGATGACACGTCATTAAGCAGTTGGATTTCTCAAAACAGTGCTCGGCAGTGTCAGCCACCAAGGCTCTGGGGCAAGGAGCTGCTTCTGGCGGATGACCGCAGATGGGCCGACCCACAGGCTCCGGACCTGCCCAACCCCCCAGCTCCAGGCTCCCACCCTGCCCCACGTCAGAGTTTGCTTTCACCCTTCGTCAGACTCAGGTGTGTGCCCTGGTGTCCAGGCAGCCGGCTGGGGCACTGTTCACATGGACACAGGCTCTCCCCAGCCCATAAACCCACTTTACCCTGGCCTGCAGCTGCCAACAGCACCCCATCCTTCCAACCACCTCTTGCTCTCAGACAAGTGCCTGCCACTCGCTCCCAGGCTTCTCCAGGGAAAGGAGGAGAGGTGGAGCACTTCCCTGGAGCCTTGCTGCTGGGCTCCTTGCTGCCCAGACTTCCAGGGTCACTTCCAGTGGCCACCGGAGGTCGGAGTCAGAGCTGTAGGCTCTTGTGTGGCTGTTCTGTTAACCAATGCTTGAGTCGAACCACGGAGGGTCTGGGTGGTGGGGCCTGGTTGGTCTGGGCCACTTGGCCTGGCCCAGGATCGGAGCCTGATTAGGTTGCCCAATAAACTGCTTTGCTGCCTTGGGCTGGGGTGGAGGAGGGCAGAGATGGAGAGCAGTTCAGAGGACGGGAAGGAGGGGGTGTGTGGAAAGGGTTCTCTATAAGTTTACAAATATACAAAACCAAAAAGCACATCTTTCAAATAAAAATGACTACATTTTTATCTGGCAAAAAGTTGTATACACATGATTTAATTTTTTTTTAAATTTTAACAGTTTTTGGCAATCTTAATAAAGTACAATATATTACAACCAAACCAAAAAATAGTTGTTTAAATAACAGCTGTTAGAGTGACATGATCCCTGATGCCCAGCCTCCCTCCCCAGCCCACCCTATTCCTAGAGACAGAGAGAAAAGAAAAATCCTCCCATCCTGATAAACTCATTTCCCACCCACCCCACCCCTTAGGAAGCTAACCAATAGGAAGCAACACAACAAGCGAGAAGTTGCGGAGGAAGCCAGCCCGGGGCTCTGCATTAGCAGGAGCAGCCGCCCTCGCTGGCCGGGGGCTCCTGGGGCTTGTCCAGCTTGATGTCGATCACTGCGGGTGGCCGTGCTAAGGAAGACCACTCGCCCGGAGAACTGGGCCCACGCCCTCCCCCATAGCCTGCACACCCCCCTCAGCAAACACCCACTCAGATCTCTCTGCTGGGCCCTAGGAGGGAGATGGATCACCAGCTCCCACCTCCTGCTCCCCACGAAAGCAAACCCCTCCTGGGCCGTGGGGATGACTACCTGCAAGCACACCGGACAGAGTCCCAGAAGCCTCCCCGGTGACAGGTGTTCCCGGCTCCCAGCCATCGCCTTGCCAGCTCTCAGCATCATCCCAAGGGCACTCAACACCCCAAGTAGAGAGTCTGGGGGAGGCAGGAATGCTGGTCACACCCAGAATCCTCCTGGTCCACAGCATAGTAACGTGTGGGCTCCCCGGGTTTTATGAATGGTGAACACACACACACACACACACACTCTCAGCTGCTGCCAGGTTGGAGGTTCCAGTCTACACAAAGGGAGCTAGACAGACAGGCCTGCAGGTGCACCGAGAAATCGGCCACTGAAAACCCAGTGGGAATGCTCGGGCACACAGCACAACTCAGCAGCCCGAGGTTCTGGCTATCTGTGGGCCCTGTGTTGGCACTTTGCCTGCCAAGCTCCCAGCAGAGGGACCACTTAATATGCTAGGGGGTGCACTGAGAGGCAGTACCCGTGGAAAACTGCCAAAGCACAGCCCATTTCCAGTCCTTTCTATCAGAGCCCCGGAGGGGAGTGGGCTGGAGAAGCATTTATCACACCCCGCAGAGGACCTGGTGCGAAATGCCTCTGTTAGCTCATCACAGAGCTGATCCTGGTGGAGGGGGGGAGAGGGTTGGAAGGCAACTCAAAGCCTCATTAATGGACTTGTTGCTGAAGGCCTAGAATGGTGGTATGGTGGGTTAGTATTGGGCTGTGAACCTTAAGATAAGTGGTTCAATCCCATCAGCTGCTCCACAGAGAACAGAGGAAGCCTTCCAGTGTGCGAAACGCTGTCCCATGGGGTTGCCATGAATCGGAACCAACTCGACGGCTGTGGGTTTGGGATATAGGTGAGGGTTGTGGGAGAGATCATTCCAGAAGCTTTAAGTTCTACAAAAAGCTATATTTTCCCTGAAGACCATGTTTTCTTCTTCATCTTGGCTGTTGGGAAACTGAGCCAACGTTTGGCTTCTACATCCCCTTAGTCATGGGGTGTAGTCCGGTGAGGGTTTTTCCTCTGGCTCTTCCACGTTGCCCTGCCTCTACTTCTCCTTGTGCCCCAGTTTTCATGTGTACACACTCTCACAAGAGTAACAATCATGGTGCGCGTCCACACACATTCATATAACACGGCAAAGTGTCCACGGTTATTCAACAGTCGCCTTCCCTCCACGCTGCAGGCACCTCCTGACCTCTCTATGCACGTCAAGCCCACTGACTCTGCCCCTGCCCACGGTCCCTCCAAAACCCACTCCGCAAATGCCTGCCTCTCTCTCTACCTCCTGGTCTTCCCCAGGTTCCCCCCTCTGAGCCCACCTGGTTGGTTTTCCCATGAGTCCATCCCAGCTCCTCCCCTCCCCCAGCCACCGTCCCTCTTCTGCCAACACCCCCTCCCTTCCTTTCCCTCCCCTCCTTCCTTCGAGAAATGATGTCCCCGTCTCCACCCCAGGCCCACGTCTGTAAGAAAGGCCTTTGCTGCTTGGTTCAGGCCTTCCAGGGTGGCTGTTTTTTCTGGGAAACCTTTGTGGTGGACACTCAGCACCTGCCGTATGCCAGGCCCTGTGCTAAATGTGCGGGCTGTACCCCGACTTCCACCACCACCACCTGGTGTGCTGGGGATCCTAATACTCACCTTCCAGCCAGAAAGGGGAGGAGCCTGGGTCCAAGTCCAAGCCCATCCGACCCCAAAGTAGGGCTGGCCAGGGTGCCTGGTGGCTTGAGTGTAAAGAGGAGGCCCAGCAGGCCTGCACGAGCCCAAGGCAGACAACGGAACACCGAGGGCCGTGCTTTCGGCCCCTTGGCCTGACATTGCCCTTCAACTGTCCCGAGTCCCTTTGACCAGGCTCCAGTGGCGACCCTTGGTGGCCTATGGGGATGACAGGAGCTGGGCAGCTGCTCTGGGGGGGAATGAGTGCCCAGGCTCGGGGGGTTGAGGGGGACAGAGGCCCCTGACGTTTCCCTCTCCTGGCAGCCAGCCTCCGGTCAGTGCCCTCACCCACGACGACAGTCCTCATGTGCGCCCGAGATGCCCCAGGAGCACTGTCCTAGACTGGAACAGGGCCGCATATGCCTCCGTTTGAGGCTCAGATTTGGGCTGGGGGATGTGAGTGCAGGCAGATCTTGCACTGGGAGCTGGTGCAGGGGCCGGGGTATAAGGTGCCGCAGGTCCCTACAGGGAGCTGTCTCTTGTAGCGACCGGACGCTGCACTCACGCTGTGTGCACAGAAAGCTTGCCGGCAGTGGGGAGCCCACTCGGATGAGTCTTCATACATAGAGAGCAGTGCTCATGGAGCAAAGGGCAGCGGTCCTTACTGCTCAGTCTCGCTCCCACCAGCAGGCCTCGCAGATCCCTGTTCTGGAGGCAGCACTACCGCAGCACATGGTGGAAAGACCCTGGGGCTGAGCTATGCCCTGAATAGAGACGGGAAAAGGGCTGCACATGCCACCCCCAGCAGTGCAGGGAAGGCTGGGCTGGAGACCCCATGGGGGTCTGTCCACTGTGATAAAGAGCCAAGCGGGAAAATGTGGGGACCACATGTCTTCCAGAGCATCCTGCCCCTCCCTTGCCAAAAGAAAAAGGATACTCCCTTCTTTGCTCTTCTCCTGGACGTTCTCCATTCCGGGCAGAGCAGAGGCCACCCGTCGGAAGAGCTGCGAGAGGAGACGCCGCGTGAGCTTAGGCCCGGCCTTCTCTCACGCTGGGCCCTCAGCCACGCTCCTGCCACCATCGCGGCCCTCCTCAGCCTGACCTTTTGGCGTTAGTTACTCTCTTTCTGCCTGC